TCTAGGAGGAAGAAAAATAATGGAGGCCGACTCCAACTCGGGAACATATTGGATGATACATTGTTTACTGCTGGCAATGACAATCATCTTATCAACTTACTAGTTTGCTCCTTCCCTAGAACTAGAGGTAGCGGCAAGACCAAATTGGGTCGCTCTCTAGCCACCTGATACTATGTATTTTGGTACTGTTACGCTTTTTATTTAAGTGTCTAATGTATTTTCTGTTTTTTTAGTTTTGAAACTTTTTGTGTTTTTTGTGTGGATAGAATACCATGCTTGGGCCCTCCCACACATTGTATCTGTATCTTTTTTTCTATTTAAAATATTAGCCTTTTTGGGCTTTTAATATATATATATATATTAAACTCATTCAATACACTAACAAAACACTAACAAACCAATATCACTTGCTTTGTCCAGTCTCCCTCTTCTGCAATGCCCGAAGCTTTTATATAAAGCTCTTTCTCATACGTGCACAAGCCACCTCCCTTTCTTCTTCCATCAAGCACAATTAGTCGCCACCACAGTATGTGCTCCTCCCTCATCCCCTTCCTCTTATTCTTGACGCAAGTGGCATCGTTCTTCCTCTCGCAACACCCATACTCAACACTAAAACCTTCCACACCCGCAAGCAGTGTCAAATTTCCCTTCCAAGAGAAGGGTGGTTTGCCCTAGACGCACGTAAGTTATCTTCTTTCTTACTTCTTCCAATTTGCTTGTTAGGTCACAACTCTTTGGCACGATTCCCGTAAGCAAAGCTGCCTCTTCTCCTTTTTGTTCATCTCCACCTATCGAATAGGGCACTCACAACAACGTTCCTTCCTCTCATTCCTACTCCTTCACTGTCGTTTCTTCATCTCCTTCCTCTATCTCCCACACCCGCTCTTTCGATCATTTCTATGATTCCAAAGTGACTGAGAGACTAGCCTCCATAAGTTAAACTATCAAGACAATTATTCAATCCCACTAATTCGATTTTTTTTTTTAAATTTCAGTCATTACACAACCAATAGTGTCACATAGGAGAGAGCTAAACGGGTGGAAATTAATTTACAGCGGACTCAAAAGCGTAGGGATTTACAAAAGAAAAGGAGCTTGGAAGAAGTTACACTAACATTTCACTCTGGAGAGTCCAATGGAAAGAAGATAAAAATCATATTCTAATGGAGTTAATAGCAAGGCTAGTAACACTACAGAGCGCATCTTAATTATGGAAAACTACTCCATGTGAATGTTTATTTGATTCTAAGGGATGTTACTAATGCAGATACTCGGGACATCAGATGAAGAACTGCCCAAATTTTGCTCAAAGATCCACACCAAAAGCTAACTTAAGAAGGGAATCAATTCAGAGAAATTTTTAAGAGGGGTCTACTGTTAAAAGTAGTCAGTAAACGATTATAAATGCCGGCAAAAAGACTCTCATAACTAGCAACCAAAGTAGGGAATTCGATCAAGATTTTATTCTCTAACTCATCGGAAACTTGAATTTGTTGCTTTTGATAAGATGCTAGTAAAGTTTGAGGAGTGATTTGTCATTGCGGGTCATGATAGTTATTTAGTGGAGTATCTTTATGTACTTACTTCAAAAGTTCGGAGTTACTTTAGTTATATTATTATGTTTCAGATATTTCGAGATTATTTAGTTGAATTATGTTACTTTAAATGTTGGATTTATTTTATTCATTTTTTTGGTATCACTTAATAAGAATTAAACTCTCTTGTAGATTTATGGATAGTATGCTTAATCTGTATAACAATTAACTTTTGCGAAATTCAGAAATTTCGAGGAAAAAAATTTCATGAGGAAAGATTGAGATAACTGAAAAATAAATATAATAAAATAAAATTTCTTGAAAATGATCGGACCAAACGTCCAAGCGATTACTTAAGAGACAAACGTCTCAGTTTGAACCACTTAAATCAAATGATGAAATCAAAGAAGAGCCAAAGAGTGAAAGCAGAAATTAGAGAAGATAGAAGAGGAAAGTGGGGTCACAGATATCTCTTATTAAAGTTTTGGCGTCATTATAAGAGCCTCTAGGTTTGTCTACATATGTTAGTGCAATAGTGAAAAAATGAAGGAGTGTTGGTGTGGTCGAACCGAGCAGGGAGGAGTTGTGCCCTAGGCATTGAAGAGGAAGAAAAGCTTTGAAGAATTTTGATTGTCGCGTGTGTCTAGGACAAGAAAGACGACCACGACGCTTCTGCGCTTGAGAGGCTTCGACGCTTGCATGTAGGCTACTCAATGAATGAAGAAGAGAGGAGAAGAGGGCCTTTGCTTGCGAGAAGAGCGAACAAAAGCCAAAGTCCTGTAGGTAACCAAGTAGCTCGCGCATCTCACGAAGAGGAAGCCTCTCATGCGACTCTTATGTGAAAAAGAAGGAGAAGAGAGGAGGAAATGTTCGTGAGTCCTATGCGCAAGCAGAGGAAGAAGGATATGTAGATGTCTCATTTGTGCAGGTGCCAACTGAGCAGAGCAAGCTTTAGTAAGGTAAGTGTTTAAGTCTTTTAAATTTTATAATTTGTTTTAATAAAAAAATTTATTAAGTTACTATTAAATTTTATGAATTATGGAAAAACAATTGCAACAAATCGGGATTGACGTTATAGAAATAAAAGATTTGATTAATTAAAGATAAGTTAAGGTTTAAGGTTATTTAGTTTTTTTAATTATATTAATTGAATTACATTTAAAGCATTAATGAGAAGTTTCTTTTGTTAATTAAAATCATAAAGCAGGAAGGAAGAATTAACAACAGTAAATAAGTGGATAAAGAGGATCGTAAAGGAGTTGTTGACTTCACAATAAAAGAAATTGAGGTAAATTTTCATTATGCATCTAATTTATGTTGTTTAAATATTTAATTCTAAGATAATGTTCGTTCTAATAAATAATTTAGGGGATTGGATTGGAACGACCGACCTAGAAAAGAGTAGTTTATGAATTTATATAAGAAAAAATTTAAGATTGAGTCATGGCAAGAATCATAAAAGGAAGTTTAAATCTATGAGTTGATGTCCCATTTAATGATTAAATTAAAACGATAATATATTTTTTATTAATAAAAATATATTGTTATTAAGACAAATAATTATAAACTATATATAAATTCATTTGTTTAAGAGTCAATTTGGGTTCGATTAGTAGGATTCAATTTTGAGGATAAAAGCATAAGGTTCAAGGATGACTTTGATATGCCAAAATGAGTTATTATATTTTTAAGTTACAATAATATTTCTTGATTTTAAATAAATTCCTGATTAAAGTTTTTCACTATTATGTCTTATGTTAATGAAATTAAACTGCGTTTGATTCTTCATATCGTTAGTCGTAAAATATGCATGTTAAACTTGCTGTATAAATAATTGCATTATTGTTCTTCTAAGAAAAGGTCGCTGCATTATAGTTTTCTTAAGAAAATGTCACATTACTATATGACATGTAAATTCTAGTATAGACACATAAATCAGTTTATTTCATAACATATAGATTTAATAAGAGTACAAGTATTAATTAGTAGATAAAGGTAAAGTATCTCTTAAGTGAAAAATGTATGTTATGAAGAATGAAATATCTTATATGTGAATAATTATATGTGCAAGCTATGAAGAATTCACCCCCTAATGGATGTAGAGCATGTCTATGTACTCATGCGTGTAGATGTTATCTTACCAAACCAGACAATTACAATGTTTAGATCACTAACCGCTATGCCGACAAAAAAATATAAGTCAGGGGCAAGTAGGAACTTTTTTCTCCTGCCAATCGTATAATTTAGATCATGAATCGCTATACTGAAAGAATAATATTAGTCAATAGCATGTTGGTTATGTTTTAATGGTGCTCCTGAGGAAAATGTTAAATTGTATAAAGTAAATCTAAAGATTAAACATTGCAAAGTAAAGTTAAAATTAATGCATATCAATTGTATAAAGTAAATCTAAAGATTAAACATTGCAGAGTAAAGTTAAAATTAATGCATATCAAAGTTTAAGTTATTTCTATTGATTAATGTTATGGTCATATGCATTAGATTAATACATGATTTCTATAATGAAATATGAAAAGTCGGCATGCATATTGCGTTTGTTTCCCTGTATTACTATAGTTTAGAAGTGTGATTACTCCATCGGGTTATTCATTTTATTGTTTTAATATTTTTCCAACTTTTGAGCTTTTGAATAAGATGATTACTAGAAGATATAATGTTTACAGAAGGCGATGTCAACAACATGAAAGATAAAATTTTATTTGTTAATTAAACTTCATTTGGTGGCTCTTTAAATTAATATGTGAATATTAAACTATTAATAATAGAAATAGAAAATTTTATTTTATCGTCTGACCATCCGTTCCCGCCTTGATTAATTCCAAATCCCGAGTCGGTTCGGGTCGTTACCGATGATTCTTGAAAAGTTATTGGATAGGTTATCTACTAGTATGGGCAATAAGTTAGTTTTTTGGTTATTACTTTTCCTTTTTTATTTTTTCTATAGTATGTTATTAACTTTTCCCTTTTTATTTCTTCTATAGTTTGTTATTAGCAAGAGAATCTAATTAAATTTATTCAATTTTGTTAAATTTTTTGTTCAATTATGTGAATTTCCAAAAAATTTGTGTATATTTCATGATAATGAGTATCTAATCATTACTTCTAATATAAGCCACTAAATTTTCAACGGAATTGCTTTTTATTAAGTTTTTTATTGTTATCAGTAGTAAAAATAACTGATAAAAATTAAAAGTTTGTTGATATACAAAATTTTAATGATTCTTGTTTGATCTTATGTAACTCATAGTAGAACAACATTAGAAATCCCCTAAGATGTCACAATAAAGGCATAAAAAGAAATAAAAAAAAGTTCAGCAAGAATTATTAATAAGAGGCTAAGAGCAAAACTATAATGATATAACAGAAGCAGCCATTAGAATTTTTGGGTAAAACAAAATCTCCTGCGTCATTTTTATATCATTAGCAGTAAACAAAACTTCAAACCTGTGGCTTTGAGCATTCATCATCTCAATTCCAGTTGACAACTCATCTTTAACTTTTGCAAGAGGAGAAAAGAACTGGTACAGAGTACCTTGTCAGAAGTAGTGGGAAGCAACAAGGCATCAATCTAACAAAGCCGTTAGAAATGCTAACCTGGTGCATGGATATAAACACTATTGAAATGCCCAATATAAAGTTTATGGTCAGTGTATGACCAAATAATGCAGCTGAGGCTATGCCAGTGAAAATCGTTGCAACAGTTGACGAATATTTCTTCAGTATAGTATCTGCATGTGTACAGAAATAATTTATAACTCGTACAAACAAATAATTAAATAAGCAATTAAATGCTTTCTTCTGAAAAGCAAAACATGATCATGAATTATTATTCTAACCGGGACAAATGTCTCATAGAATTATGGATCAGTAAAGGGCTGTTTTACTGAAGATAGCAGAAACTACTTGCAAAAGTCACAAACTAGAAATAACTGGCTTAAGTGACCGTTCATTACCAGCATATTTGAAAAAAAAAGAGGACAGTATGCCTTGTGCAGCATTGTTACAGATTAAAAACATTGTAGCCCTTGAATGCCCTTGTAGAATGTCAAAGCTGCCAGGCCCTAAACGAAATTAAAAGCCAAACCATAGTAAGAATCACTCCATGTACAAAAAACCAGGTGTTGCGTTATAATAATACATGAAGCATTGTCACGCAAAAAATCAAACGGATGTAATGGAAATGTTAATTTAAACAGAAGGAAAGTTAACCGATACAAGGAAACCTACACTGATAAGGATTTCTCAAATTATGTATCCCAACCAAAAATACTTCAGCAGTCGCAATTTCTATAAAATACTAAACAATTTGACACTAAGAAATCAATGCATAAAGTCATTTTCCACGAAAAACATGCAGGTCAAAATAATAAGAATAAGCCAAAATAACTCAAACATGCAAAAGCCGCCATGAAGATGCACTTTGATTGCAAAAAAAACAAAAGAGGGTCCTGAAGATATGTCTAATGTATATCAGAGAAGAGAAACATTTGCAGAGAAGAAAATATCATAATTGATTACATAGAGGGACGCGTTCTAGGCAGAGTACTTTCTGTGAATCTCTTTATGTATCACAGAAACTTGCTTTGAATGTTGCAGTATGAAAGTACATTGTAGATTCACGAGAGTACTATTCATTGGCTTGTCACAAAGGGACTTTCTACAGTATTTTTAAAGGATAGGAACATTCTTTTGTATCTATTATGTTAAAATTCCCAAAGTCACTCAAATGAAGATTATCAAGGATAACAGCTCTGTCAACAATGATGCTACATGACTTGAATTCATACCTTTGAATAAAGCAGTTCCAATAATCGCAAGGAAGTTGAATATTGCACCATAGCCATACAAGAATAAGTTCTGCAACAAAGACAAAGGATGCCATAATAAGTGACTTGAGTTTGAATTACAAACCAGAATTAACAGAATATTTAATAATAATATAAATGAAAGTTTTCCTCAATGATCAAAGGAGGGGCTAAAAGAAAGCAATTTATGAAGTTCTTAACTTAATCTACTACACTAACTGTGAAGAGCTACCTGAAGGTAGATACTTGTATCAAATTGACTTTTCAAAGCAAATTCATTGTATACAGAAGCCAATGATGGAACTGTTACCTGAAATTAAACATCTAATTTATTCATTCACATCTAACCGCAGGCATATAACTAATATTCTATATCAAACCAAGCTTCAAAGATTTAAATCTCCAACAAAATATGATAAAAATTTCACGCTATAATTACAATTTAGTCAACCACATATGAACTGTCCACGCCAACTAATAAATAAAAACTGATTATAATCTTCAAGGAAAACATATCAAAATTTCACACCATATATCACTATAACAATTCGAAAGTATTAGTCATAATAATTTTGATAATTTATATAAAATTTTCAAAAAAATAAAAAGAATGAAAATCATATGATGCCTTACAGGAGAATACTCTAATAGAGGAAAAAAAATCTATTGCCTGCATAAAAACAATTTTGCATTTAGTTCTCCTGCACAAATTTTAATGAAAAAAAAAAAAAGTTTTCCTTTATGAAACACTCCAAATGTAAAAGAATATAGAGAAAGGCATGTGTGGTACTTCAGGTTGATATATAATAAAGTGTGGTTATTCCTTTAAACGCAAAGAAACTTTGGAAAGTTATTCATCGTGATCTGCAGACAATAAGAAAATCATTATGATATGCCCGAACATCTACAATATCTATGCAGGATTTTTCAAAAACCAGAAATGCATTTAAATGCATTGTTTATTTCTTTTATAAAAATACACATAAAATGCATAGCATTACAATCTAGTCATTAGCTTCCTCCATAGCATGAGGCAAATTTGGCTTTGTAATAGTCACATCTAGATAACTGAATAAGACCACTACATCAATATCCATTGCACATAAGCAAACTTGTAGGAAGGAAAAGATTGTGCTTTCATAAGCACAAGGCAACAACAAAACTATGGAAAAGAGTTATTTATGGCAGTTAAAGAAGCAAAGCATTGAAGATGAGCAATACAATCATTGAAAAAACCATAAGAACCCAAATTTTCTTTATGGTAGTTGTAGAATTAAATCAAAATCGAAATTGCAAGATCAGGCGTAATAACTTACAAAAATCACTGTATAAATATATGCAGCAGCTGCAATGGGAAATGCAGTTGTACCCTCTGGTAGAGATCGCAACTGATTAACACAGATTCCAATGAGAAGAAGTGCAAGTGCCTCCCACTGTATGGACAAAGGAAGTATTGAAAAAAATATTTCACAAAACATGCAAGCAGCATATTTTTTTGAGATCAAATGTGCATCCTAATTTAAATTTTAAATAATTTTCCATTAATAGCACAATTCAAAAACAAATTAAAAAAGGCAAACTTATTTTAGTACTTTTCAAAATTCAAAGCCTGTATTAATACAGTTAAACTGCTAAACCATATACCTGAATTATGGAAAATCGCCTTTTCATTATCATCTTTAACAGAATTGCAATCACCAAGACCTACAAAAGTTCAAAATCAAAACCAAAGGAAAAATTAATTTAATGAGTGACAGTAAAGAGAAACAAATAGAAACTAAACAATAAACTGTTGTCCGTTGGTTGCATGATTGTGTCAAACATGGAACAGAAAATATTGTCCAAATACATGGCAAAAGTAGATATATATCTTGGGGCTAAACTTTGGATAGGGTTACTGTAGTTTGTTTAAAAATTTTTTTACGAGCAAAAAACAATAAATTGAAAAATTATTAAAAATAATAATAATAATAAACATGAAATGAACTGAATGCCTGAACTAGCACTAAGCCTCCCAACCCAGCCACTCACCTCATGAATAAACACTACCTCAGCCTCCTTCACCGTGCAAAAATCTCACCCTTCGCCACACTTTAGAACACAATTTAAGAGAGAGTAGATCATGGTTTGAGTACATACTCCTCGTCTGGTTCTTAAAAGTTAACCTTACTCCTTTAGCTACAACTGCCAGCTTCACCACAGAACTCAATTCAACATCGCTCTTCTTTGGTTGTTGCCATTATCATCCCCTCCTTTTTGTCCCTCTTCATCAAATTGATTCATATGCATTCAAATTCTCTTTCTAAACTTTGTTGGCTAAGACACAAGTTCTCGACATCTTCCCTGTTGGTCCTGACCACAATTTATCAACCTCCTCTCCGATTAAAATCTATTGATTGCTATTTGGTAAGTTAAAGCTGCAGAGAGGAATTTTAATTGTGATTAAGATTAATTACATAAATATTTACAATAAAATGAGAATTGGTTTGTAATTTTAAGCATCTTCATCATATATTTCCTTAGGTTAAGAATTTAGTTTAGATTTAATTCTGACACATAACTCATAATATTTTAATTAATGCTTTGTTCCAGTGAATTAATTAGGCTTCATTAATGTTGATTTAAAAAATGGTTAAATTAATTTATAATAAAACTAGATAACTAAAGTTATCATGTGTTTAAATATTAATTTAGAATACTCATTGTTAAAAGCTCTTGATTTGCTAACAACCAATGCTATTCCTTATGATAAATGTATGCTATCTTAATAAAGATGTTATCAATGTTGAAGGTTATATAGATTCCTAATCATGGTTTGTGCATTCATTTATGCCTTTAAAGTTTTAGTTTGCGGCAGGTGGGAAAGCCATCTTTGCAATGGCTTACAACTCAATGCACTGAATAAATGGAAAGAATCTGAGCGGATAGTTCGGAGCACTATTTTGTAATGAAAAATTCTGTAAAAATAGGGAACAAATTAAGAAAATCATAGCAAGGATAAAAAATGGTTCAAGATTACGATATGAAATTTGCTCAAATAATCATTTTTTTTCCTCCAATTAGCTAACATGAAACATAAGAAAATATGGCTTAAGAAAAGACATTTACAATTTTTTATCATCAAATGTGCTACTTTTTAGCTTATTGGTGAATCAAGCTATACAGCACAAGTAAAGCACAATAAATTTTGAAGAGAAGAGTATTAGAAAGTTGAAGAATGCAGATGCTCATGCAGGTGGTCTCAGAAAAAAGAACATCTGACTCATAACGGGCAGAAGTCTATGGGCAACTCTAATTATTCTTATTATAGAAATTAGCACATGAGGCCATGTGATTAGATTGTAGGCAAGTATTTAAATTTTTATGATCCTAGCCATAAGTATTTCTTTTTGAAGACTCAAAAACCAACTTAAATTAAGAGCACATAAGAAGATAATGCAAGACAATTTCAATATCAGAATATATGAAAGAAATCTCAGAGGATGACATTAAAAGTTTTAACAGAAAAGTATAAACAAAGAAGTACTACATTTAGCCTCAACATCAACAACAATAATTTTTAGCACTTCAGCTATACTAACAAAACCCTCCCATTTCGCAATACTAGTTGATACCGGAGTTAACCCAAACAACAGAAAATCCAACTTTTATTGCTGAAATTAAATAAAGGTTACAACTAGAACACTCGAGAATAAGGAATAACAAAAGACACAATACAAACTCAAATTAGGGCTTAGGTAGAATTTGGTGGTGCTGTGGTTTGAGGGGTAGTGGAGGGCATAGATGCTGGAGAATGGCAGCACAATATGTAAGGATTGGGGAAGTGGATTGAGAAGGCGGCTGAAGAATGACTGGCTACTAGATAGCAGCAAAGGATGAACTGTCGACGGTGGGATTTCAGCAGAGAAGGGTGAGGCTCGGCGACTGAAACTGCCGTAGGGCAGGGCAGTCAGCAGCTTGTAGGGTAGGGAGACAGTGGGGACATCACTACTGTGGGTGACAGATGAGGGAATTGCGGCTGAAGAGAAATCACCCAGCAGGTTACCAGATGGCTGCAGGTAGGACGGATGATGGCAGTAGGAGGAGGTTGCGGGAGGAGAAAGTGAAGGATAATCACTCGGAGCAAGTTATAGCCAGAGCACCACTCATCCTCGGATACCGCCCAAAAAAAACAAAATAAGGGATGTTGATGGCTGTCCAGACAGCAAACACGGCAAAAATTGACCTAAAACATGAAAGCAGCATACAAATAATACTAGGTAATTAAGAAAGGCAACCCCACTCCTAATGGGCGATAATCCTAGTTCAGTAGGGCCGGTCGGCCCCCTTTCTTCCTAGTTGAATCGATTCAGAAGCTCGCGGCCGATTCAACCAAATAGAAGCCCCACATCACTAGCAGTAGCCAACGCCATATCAACAATAACAACTAATTAAGAATTAACATCCATGACCAGCTCAGACTCAAGAGCAACCTAAGCAAGCATTTCCACCTTTTGTTTTCACTAACCCATTATGAAGCTCAAGAAAATATGATGTGCTGACTGATATATTTTGTATTCTAAAACAACCAACAAAATTTTTGTTCCTCAGAGGCACCACATTCAGTTATGTTTTTAAATTTTCGTAATGTTAATTAGCTTGTCAATTACAACCACACTTTTTAATTACTATGACATCTGATTAATGCATAATAGTGACTCCATGTGTTTATGATAGTGATACTATTTTTAAGAATATGTATATACCTTTAACACTCATTTTATTTTCACTGGCTTGGGTAAATATGACATTAGCTATTAATCGACCATCTATCTATTATGACTATTTATCAACGTTGCTGAAACACATTATCAAAAGCAAAAAAGCGAAGACATTTTGCTGTTAAAGGTGCGAAGGGAGCAATAACTTGTAGTGTTTGCACTTAATTATGAAAAATGCTTTCCTTTTTCATAAGTATGTTGATAATTTTGCTCAGATAGTAGATGCCAGCATATGTAGTGCTAATCCAAATATGTACCCATAATTAAAGAATTTACAAATTCATTTTTTAAATTTACTAGATTTACCTTCTGATCAAAAATATAATTGCATCGTACACCTGGTTAAAATAACACACTAATTCCTAAATTACTATATTGTGCAAGTACCATTGAACATCAAGATCATAATGCATATTTGCAGGAAATACTTAACAAAAAATTCAGCAATGTGTCGCCTTAAGGAAGCACTAATTTTATCTGTGAAGAAAAAAATAGAAGAATGAGTCCATATATTGGCTAGAAATAGTTGAATAAGTTCATTGTGAAAAACGTATCCTCTATCAAGTATAGAAATCTGTTTGAACTATTAATGTTTTCTAAGATTGATCTTCGACATCAACTGAAGATTGAGAGTGATGGCATGCTTGACTCTAACTTTGAGCTCATTGCTATCAGTACAAATTTGTGGTGATGTTGTTTGTATTGATCAAGGCATAAGCTATGTTTATAGATATGATGAAGAAAATGTATAAATTTTATTTAGATTACTTTACCATTGCAATAATGAATGATATTTTATCTACTCTAAAAGTGAAGAATAGCACACGCAGTATCTCATAATTATATTAAATATCATTCAAGAGAATAAAAAGTATGTGGAAATCTCTAATTGTAATTTTTTACTTCAATAAGTAGCTTGCGATGTGCATATTCTAAATGGATTAGGTTTTTTTATTGACTCAGCAAAAGGTCAAAGTGGTGATGGATTAGTTGAGTGTGAATAGTACCATGAGATTCTAAAATATTTTTAATCCATTTGCTTATTATAAAACATTTATTGAGGGTTTCTCTACTATTGGAACATCTTTGACTATATTAACTCCAAAATTTGTTAACATGGTGTGGTTTGATTATCGCAAGCGAACTGTTAAAAAGATCAAAATATGTTTAATGTCAACTCCTATTCTAAGCGTTCCTTCAAATAACCATTGGTTAAAGATCAAGTTGTTTATTTATATTAGGATTTAGTATAAGTTTAATGAAACACAAAAAAATTATAACTCATGCCTCTAAACAACTCGAGAAGTATGAAAAAAAACCATCCTAGTAGTAAGTTGGGGCTGCCCACTCTTATTTTTGCTTCAAAGATCTACAAAAATTATCTTTATAGAGTACATTGAAAAAATTTCATTAATCATAAGAGTTTAGAATATAATTTCACTTGGAAAGAGTTAAACTCATGTAGAGGCGATGGCTCCAGTTGATGAAAAACTATGACTAAAAGGTCCATGGTCATCTTTTTACTTTGTGTTAAAATTCTTAAACTATCATGGCATGGATAGTCACTTAGAAACATTACTTTGTGCTCAAAATACGCCAATATTAGATTTAGAAGATTCCTCAAAGAGGAAAATCTACTCTATGTCATAAGATCATTCAGTCAATAATCGTAACTTGAATTTGCATAGCATAGAGGAAAGATGTCAAATTGATGCAGTTTAAACATTAATATTTGAAATGGAATAAGATATAAGTTCATTATTGATCATTGAAGGCATCAACATAAGTGACATAAAGGAGCGCAAAATAGTCCATATTTTGTTCTTTTATGCGTTATTAAATTGTATTAAGATCACAAAGAATTTTCCGGTAGCCTATTATAAAGAAAGATATCGTGAATTCATGAGCCTGAGTGTTTAACATGTTAGATGATTAAAACTAAAC